ATGAGGTCACCGGTCAACTTCATACTGACCGCTCTGGCGATCGCTGACATTATGACCATGTCGCCATATACAGTCATGGCCATGTACCTCTACATTTTAAACAAGTATGTCTTATGTCTTAGACTGTTCACCATACTGTGTAGTTCTTACACTGTCGCCACTTCTGCCAACTTCTTTCTTCCTGCTTTTCTGGCAGAAGCTGTTCTGTCTTGTCGTTCTTTCTGTCAATGTCTTTCTTTCTTGTTTTCTTTTTCTTTTCTTTTTTCTGTCTTTCTTTCTTTTTTTTTTGTCTGTTTGTTTCTTTCCTTTTTTCTTCTTTTTCTTCTTCTTCTTCTTCTCCCCCTCCTCCTTCTTCTTCTTTTTCGTCTTCTTAACTTCCTCTTGTACGGCGTTTGTCACGTTGTTTTGTGGTTTTCAGCAAGGATGCAATATCTGCACCCTTGAGCGCAACACATCTAATTCAAGAAAATCTATAATTAGTCGCCTTTCATGATATGTTATCGGGCAGTGCCGCATATTTCTGGCTTGTTCCGGGACTCATTGTTTTTTCACCAGTTTTTCTAACGGGACATTAAGGGACATTTAATTTGATTTGTACCGGCACAGAAAGGGAGCAAGTAAAGGGGTGACCCCACCGCAGTGGAACCTCGACTGAGACCTACGACTGACTGACTGACTTCTTACCCCACCAGGACATCACACAAGCGATAAACATCCGATGACACAATGTGCCGCCATGTGGGCGAGGATCACCGTGGAGAGGTCCCAGAAACCGCGTTCAGCCATTAGGTCATATTTATGTCTGGGCTATACTGCGGTCCCTGGCAAGAGCCAGTGTAGGGCTTCAAATAACGAGAAATTGCATCCTAAAAAGTACAGTAAGAAAGACAGTATGTAGCTACGACTAATTAAGGCTCTATTTTGTCTTCTCTCCCACCAAAACTGGAGCCTGGCAACTCACACGGAAAACCAGTGAAAGAAATCTCCCCACCAAACAGTCACAAGATTAATAACGTAGTTACACAATTTCAACCGGTGTGCTGCCTCTGTTGATTCCCAGGCCAAAATTACAAGCTGTGGTGTTTTATGCAGGCATTGGATTGCATTCCCGCCCTTGGTAACCTTGCATGATGCCTGCAACTCTAAGACCGGGTTATATCCAGTGCGATATGTGATCCCTGATAAAGCGAGTAAACAGGGAAAAGAAGGAAAAAAAAAAAAAAGAGAAGGGGTGGGATGTCGTAACTGGCGATTTGGGGTGGTGGTTCTAATCAGTCGGGAAGGGGGTGCGATGTCGCAACTGCCGATTTGGGGCGGTGTTTCTAAACAGTCTGATCGGCGTTTTATCGATAACAGTCAAACGGTTCAGAGGCATATGAAGCGGCACGCTGGAGGGCGCCCCGCACCGGTGGGGAGGGGGTGGGGACGCGATACAAAACTATTTGGTGTTATTTCACCACACAACGCCGGCGACGAGATCTGGTGGGGAAATCCCCAGACCGTGCCACATAATAAGGGGGTTAGGGTCAGGGCTAATGTTAAATGAATAGCGGCAACTACTATTAAGCCCACCCTTAACCCCCTCCCATACTACTGGATGGTGTGGGGATTTCCCTACTAAAACTCAGAGCCTGTGGGATGTGGTGAAATAACAGAAAAGAATCAAATAAGAAGAAGAAAAAGAAGAAGTATACCACGGAATGTATGTTGTATCATGCGCATCAAACCTCATATCACATGCAATTCCACTGCCTTTTCTGTCTTCGTACAATGTCTCCATTACTTAGAAAACTGTTACCGTTTTGCCTTCTTCCGGACAATAACACATACTTGTCTCTTTCAGGCCTGAGTGTTCTGAAGCACACACAGAACCATGGATGTACTTTGTCATGTTTCACAACCTCTTCATTATCGCCTGCCACATGATGGCCACATGGCTGACAGTCTCCCTCGCTGTGTTTCGCTACATCTTCGTCTGCAAGCACCAGCACGCTTCGACCATGTGCTCTATGAAGCGGGCCCAAATTACGGTCCTTATCGTCTTTATGGTCACCATCGTCTCCAACACACCCTACCTGTTCATGTACCAGGTCTCTATACAGAACACCACCACCACCGAATTCTGCTACTGGGTAGCCTTATCCGAATTTGCCTACAAGCACCAGATGTTCATCAACTTCGTCCACTGGCTCTACGGCGTGGTCATCAAGATCCTGCCGTGTATCCTTCTCGCCTACCTCTCGACCCTGATAGTTATCGCCATGCAGAAGGCCAAGAAACGGCGCGCCCGCCTACTGAACAACATCTCCCGGGTGATTGACCACGACAGCAGCAATGAACACAACCGCACCACCATGATGCTGGTGGCTGTTGTCTTGTCTTTCATCATCACGGAGATCCCCCAAGGTCTGGTCGCCTGGATCAGCGCTGTAGACAAATACTTCTACCACAACGTGTACTTCCATCTCGGAGACATTATGGACATCCTTGTGCTCATCAACAGCGCCGTCAACTTTATCCTCTACTGCATTATGTCCAAGCAGTTCCGCGACACGTTCATCAACGTCTTCTTTGCGAAATGCCTTCCCCGCTTCTTGCACCGGCTCAAGCAACACCCGAATGGCGGCGACTATAGGATGGTAAACACGGAAACCACTAACGTCTGAAGCTGAATGAGCAGAACGTCTTTGAGACTTTCGGGTTCAAGCAGCCGTTACTTCAACTCTTGTTTGTCCGTTAGTTATTACGTGAAACTAATCAATACTGAGTTGTAAGAAGTTCAGATTTGTCCCAATATGGGACGATAATTTTTTTTTATTGAGAGAGGAGGGGGGAGAGGGGAGAGGAGAGGGGAGAGGGGGGGGGTGGGTTAAAGCTCCAGGTCGGCTGTCGTCGGAGCACTTATATAACCTAACGGTTGAACTGGGTTTCTAGACTTCTGCCTAGGGGATTCTCAACCGAACACTGGCATTTTGTGCCACGGGCTCTGTTTATTAAGCGTTGTGCGGTACTGGTGGGGTTTGAACGTCACTCACTCAAGTATAAATTATAACTTCATTGGACAGGAGGAGTTACAGTAACAATACGATTAGAGCTGGCTGCGTTAACAACTGGACAAGACAGAAAGAGTTAAAAACAGTTTGACGTGTTATAAATGAATGCATGGCGAGTTGCTTTGTACTGAATGAGCTGAACTACTCCTAGTGGCTGTAACTCGTATTATTTGATATCAGTTTCTATAGCCAACAGTAAAGATCTTCCACGATTGTACTTACCAAAGCTACTGTCTGTGTATATGTGTATATGAGTTTGTGATCAAATGTACACACAGTACACACATGTGGAGCTGTAGTGATATAACCTGCCATATGTTATTCAGTAAAAAGTCTGTTCAGAGTTTTCGCTACTCCTCCATGTTAGACTGTGATATTCGTAATAAAATTATGTGACGGTTTTTCCTTGAACTTCTACTCCCACCATGGCGGTTTGTGACCCCTGCCTTTGACATTCTCCGACTCGTGCAAGCAAATCAGCACTTCACTGTGTTGAAGTGTATCATTGTCCTCTCAATATGATGGATACCTGGTCCTCTCAAATTGTTTTTGCCACCCATTTTTTTTTTTTCACATTTTGTGGCTTGAATATAAAGTTGTCACTGTCACTTTTTTTTTTTTTTTTTTTAATTTTGTAACTCTCCATCATTTGTTTGTTTGTTTGTTTTGTTAAATATCCAGAATCCATGAGTTGTTAACCCTTTGGCTCGGTACTATGGATATCGCAACCCTTCGGTCTTGATTCCATGATAGAAACAGTAAAATCTGGGAGAAATGGCTACCCCCGAGCGTGAACCCGGACCATAAAGAGTTCGTCACCCGGTCACCGCAAAGTCCGTATTAACCAAGTACCCTAGCGAGCCGGGCTCTCTAGTATATAAAATGCCTTCGTGAACCTGACCAAAGGGAAAAGGATGGAATTACATATAACATTAGATCAACGAATCCTTATTACACATATATTGTGTTATCAGATCAACACATCCACATTGGAAATACACATTTGATCTTGTGTCATAAAATCTATAACCGGAATTCTCTCTATCTATATCCTATGACATCTCAAAAGATCTAAACATCAAGGAAGATTGGCTAATAAACAGCATCCTTTCTCGAAAGCTGAAATATTTTGGTCATATCAAGCGCCACAACGGATTGGAAAAAATGATAGCAGAAGGCCTGGTACCAGGAAGGAGGGGCAGGGGCCGACCGACACGAAGATGGGTACAGGATATAAGTGACTCCTTGAGTGTGAAAGTGCATGAGGCGGGAGAACTGGCGAGAGACCGAGTTTCTTACAGGCAGACTGGGATGAGAGCCGTTCTGCAAAGGACCTGCTACATGAATGAATATCCTCTTCATGTTGATGTTGACACATAGGGCATTCACAAGTGATCTCCATTGCTGCCGGTCTGCTGCTTTTCTGCCCGTGGTTTCCCATATCAGTTTATTCCTTCATTTCCCGTTCTATTGTCCTTTTCCAGGTTTCCGTAGGTCGTCTACGTCCTTTTTTCACATCTGCTGTCCACCGGAGAGCTGTTTTTGCCAGAGTGTCACAAGGCATTCTGCAAACATGTCCAAGCCATCTTCATCGTCTTACTTTGATAACATTTGCCAGTGAAGCACATTCTGCTTTCCTCCTCAGTTCTTCATTTGTGATCTTGTTCAGCCAAAATATTTGTATAATTCTCCTTAAACATGTATTTTGAAGTCTCATTTTTATGTGTAATTCCTGCTGTCATTTTCCAACTTTTACTGTTGTATAATATATAAATAACCGGAATTATATATCTATTATTTTTAACTTCTCAATTTGGTTTGTTCATGTAATATAATTCAGATACAGCTACTGAGATAGAGTCGTCTTCTACACGGACATACAGGACAGTCATTACGTAAGATAATTTGTGAAAAATTAAAACCGTCGCCAGCTTTTCGTCTGTTGGTTCACGGGTGACACTGTAGCATGCTTTAATAATCTACATCAGAAATATACGTATATCCGCTATAGTAAAGTAACCGTCCCCTTTCCACGCCTTTAGGCGTAAAAGGCATATAGGGCTAGACCTTAATTTTTTTGTAGACCAAGCTGCACAAGATGGGTGATGTGGTCAGCATCATGCTAGCAGCCTTTACTTCCCGGGACTGCACCTGGTACCCGCTCAAGGCTGTGTCGACCTGGGAGTCAAGGTCAATTCCGAAAAAAAAGTCCGCTCCGCGCGCGAGCGTCTAGCCGCTACGCCACGGCGACTCCCGTTTTATTATATCTGCTATAAGATCCAACAAATTATAATTGGAAATACTTTTTTCCCATCGCCCATAACACTCTGTTAAAGTGATTAAACAAAGCGATAAAGCTACTGAAATTGTGAATTGTTAAAGTCGGCAATGCAAACAATCCTTGAGATGACAAAGTCAGGGATTTTTTTTTTTACTGGCAGAATTTGGCTACAACTGGCAAGATTAGTGGGGGAAAGACTCAGAAGAAGACTACGTGATAAAGACACCTGGATGGCTTGGCCATATGGGTCGTGCGAGATTAGACCCGTCCACGCTTACCGCACACGGGACACGAGGAGTATGATAGGTACACTACACGTGTGACGGAAAAAAGGTGCAGGGGCAGGGTCGCGGGTCAAATCTGCAGCTTCACAAAGGACAACTAACTGTAACCAGCAAATATTATACAGAAACGCAGACTTATTAGACAGCCACTGTTGTCTAGAGGCTGGGCGCCTGCGGGATCAGAAAGTCGTAGGTTCGGGTCCTGACAGGAGCCTCACAAAAATGACCTTGGCTCCCAGGTCGACCCAGCCTTGTGTTATAACTGCGAGATACAGCCTTCGAAAGTGTGCGATGCCCTAAGTGTTAATTAAACGCAGAGTGTTTTAGTTTGCGATATGCCTCCTGCGAAAATGATTTATATATATATATATATTCCCTAGTCTTAATATAACGTAGAGTTTGTTAATTTGGGAGACACAACCTTTGGAATTGGGTGCTGTACATAGATTTTTCCAGTGTAAATATAAGGCAGAGTATGTTATTTTGCGAGAAACAGACTTTGAAATGGATTTGTACGTGGACTTTTCAGTTGTAATATAATTAGCGTTCGTTAGCTTGCGTGATACAGCTTTCGAAATGAATTTATACATGGATGTCCAAGTTTAAATACAATGTACAGTGTGTTAGTTTGCGAGAAACAACCTATAAAATTAATGTGTAAGTGGATTATATATGTTATAATATAACGTAGCATCTGTTAGTTTGGGTGATACAATCTTTGAAATGGGCTGAACATGAATTATCAAGTGCTAATATAACACAGAGACTGTTAATTTGCTCCTCTGTTAATGACTAACATATTATAATGACTAGCATTTATGTGACGGTGCTGTGTTGTGAAATATGAAGCGTGTCGTCGTTATGTACAGACGAATCTGTTACGTTGTCAAACATGAAATTTGGAACTACTGCTACTTACCATGTTACGTGTTCACAATTATAATAGGGAAATATGGAATTACTGCTTTTTAGTATGTTATGTTTTCACAAGTATGATGGGGAAATATAAAATTATTCCTTCCTAGTATGTTTCGTTTTTAATATCCAAAGAGAAAATATGGAATTACAGCTTCCTGGCGGCCGTTATCAATACTAGCTGTTGTGCTTTCCTCGCGGATACGATCAACTTTATTATCTATAAAGAATACTGTGCTATCAATATGTATGTATACGCGTGATACGTGTTTTAAATTATAATGGGGGAATTTGAAACTGCCGATACTTAGCATACAACGTTTTCCAAATTATAATGGGGACATATAGAGATTATCACCACGTGGTAATGTTTTCACAATTATAATAGTAACAAAAGAAATTATCGCCACGTTGCGCTTGCCATATCAAAAACTAGATTTTTCAAGTCACTGTTTCTAAAAATTATCTTTAATAAATCAAAGATTGTTTGGCTGTGAGTGCGTTTTGAGCGGACGGTGTGACAGAATTGGTTAAATTAACAACTCTGACAGGGACAGTTAATATTGCAGCTACATACAGTAAGGTCCCGGAACAAGACCTAAGTCTACAAGTGGACGAATGATCAAAACTTTCTGCTGGACTTTACAGGCTTTGAATGGGAAGAAGAAGAAGAAGAAGAAGAAGAAGAAGAAGAAGAAGAAGAAGAAGAAGAAGAAGAAGAAGAAGAAGAAGAAGAAGAAGAAGAAGAAGAAGAAGAGAAGAAGAAGAAGAAGAAAAAGAAGAAGAAGAAGAAGAAAAAGAAGAAGAAGAAGAAGAAGAAGAAGAAGAAGAAGAAGAAGAAGAAGAAGAAGAAGAAGAAGAAAAAGAAAAGAAGAGAAGAAAAAGAAGAAGAAGAAGAAGAAGAAGAAGAAGAAGAAGAAGAAGAAGAAGAAGAAGAAGAAGAAGAAGAAGAAGAAGAAGAAGAAGAAACAGAAGAAGAAGAAGAAGAAGAAGAAGAAGAAGAAGAAGAAGAAGAAGAAGAAGAAGAAAAAGAAGAAGAAAAAGAAGAAGAAGAAGAAGAAGAAGAAGAAGAAGAAGAAGAAGAAAAGAAGAAGAAGAAGAAGAAGAAGAAGAAGAAGAAGAAGAAGAAGAAG